AATCACCAAATATTAAAGCCAACTTACCAAAATACTTTTATAAACATTTCCGTTGTTGCCAAATTCCACACTGACTCTGACAATACAAGAATCGGCGACCTGCTTGTTGTACATGGGATGTTTGAGAGAAGGAGAGGATGATGAAGATGATGCAGATGAAGTAGGGGAGGGGCTGTCGGGGTTCAGGGCGGACAGATCCGTCTGTAGACATCTTCGAAAAGAGCTGGGCGGAGTCGGAGAGGAGCTGGGTGTGTCTACTGAGGTGTCCTGACAGGATACGGATGGTGACTGTGAATGAGGGAATGGAGAAAGACTATTTACCTCAACAAACCTAATTATCTGTAAGAATTCTGTTAAGAGCATAGCACGGGTTTTTCATATATAATTTAAGTGGCAACTGACCATATGAAGTGTATCAGATAGCTTAATCTTTCATAAGTATATTTCTTTTAGGTGTTCAGCAACACAGATTGCAAGCGATAAATACTTTGGTAAATGATATGTGGAATGTAAAACATCACCGACTGGCGGTGTTGTTATCTAATACACTGTGTTCTGTCAACTTAACTGAAGCTCTGTGTTGATTGTGCAAACATGAACTACTTTGTGACTGCAAGATTAAGGTGAAACAAACAAGTCACAAACAACCGAATGGATTTTAATAACCCAAAGGCCTCAGTAAAAACAAATAGTCAAAATAGGTTTAGAGATAATATTAAACCTGTCAGATTTAGGCCTACTGATTTAGTACAATTGATTACAAATTAATAATGCAATAAACAAAAGTAACATTTAATTAAACCCGCTGCCCCGCATGCACTGAACAACACTGAAAACTCAGCAAGATGTCATGCAACAGCTAAAGACTGACTTAAGTCTGACGCAGGTATACAGTGTTATTTTAGTATTATTTATATACTATTACAGTATTAATATTTTTAATTAACTTTTATTTTTATATTTTCATTTTAGTTTTAAGTTTTAGCAATTTTGCTTTTGTCATTTTTTTATATTTCTATATAGCCTGTTTTTAAGTTCTTCATTACATATTAAATGTATTTATTCATTTTGCTTAATTTCAATTACCAAAAGAACTATTTTTTACAGTTTTAGTAAATAATAACAACACTGAATCTGAGAATGAAGTCTGTGTGAACAGCTCCTACATCTACGTCAGACATATTGACAAAATCAAAATGATTGCAAATTGGATTTATGGACAATATGGAAATAAAACCATAAATATACTGACATTTTTTGTCAGTTGTTTTGCTTTATATAATGTAATGTCTCTGCAAATATAAGTCATTATGTTCTGCTGATGGATTCATCATATCATAATTAATTTGAATAAATACTTTATTCGATTGACAGCCTAAACTTTTTTTAAAAGAACAAAATATTGTAACATCTATAGAGTATATGAGGTAGTAAATAACAAAAAAAGTCTGCAGCTCTGGTCTACAGTTTTGTTACCTGTATTTTGTATCTAAGTGGTGAGAGGTTGGGGCTGCTCAGATCGTCCATCTCTGAGCCACTGGAGCCAGAGGATGATACACTGATCTGATCAGCAAAAGTCTTCTTTGAGAGGTTCTCACTGCCAGACAGCAATCTGCAGTGAGCAGAAGAGAAACATATGTCACAGAAACACAAGTTAGCAAAATGTCTTTTTACTTTTAGAATAGTCTGGGTCCACAAATTGCGTTGAAACTGCATCTCAAAACAACACTCACAAGGTCAGTTTCTTGGTGATGAGCCGGTGGCTCCAGGGGTTGGGAGAGCTGGGACAGTGGTCAACTGGTGGCTCCAGTTCTCTTGACAACTCATAGCTAATGAGAAAGAAAGACTAACAGTTGATATCTAAATATCGGAGATGCTGATCTTCTGAAGTTCCCAAAGTACCACTGCCATGAATTCATATTTCTTTTCATTTCAACCAACATTGTTAGCAGGAAATTGATCAAACTGAATATAATCATCAAAATGTGCAAGAGGTGCCTCACCTCTTCTGATCAGAAAGAGGTATGCTGCTGTTGATCCAGGAAATGATGCGAGGATGTGATTGGAGATTGTACTGAGCACATGACGCCTGCAGCTGCCTGATCTGAGACAGAATCTCAAACTCCTGAACGCAGAAAGGAATGGAGAAACACACATCAGCACTCTTGACACACTAGCATTTGGTATAAAACCTAGTGAGCTTCTTTTCATTGAAACAATATGAAGGCTACAGTGATTGTACTTACTTTTCTGCGCTTCTCAAAGTTGATGAGACCCCCCTGTGAGCACAGAGAGTTTATCATTTAAACAAAGAAACGTCAGTGTGGGAAATGAAACAAAAAAAAACAACTATGTATATGACATATATTAAGGTCAGAAAAAATTCTCACCTCTACATTGTCACGTAGTGCTGTGTCCAGCATGGTGAGAACGGTCAGATAAGTGCCCAGGTACGGCACCTCACCACTGGAGGGGGTCTGTCAGAAAAACAAAATTGTCAGGCAAAAATACAGTAACAGTTTGGGGTCGGTCAAGATTTTTTTATGTTTTTGTCTCTTATGCTCACCAAGGCTGAATTTACATGATTTAAAAAAATACAGTAAAATCAGTAATATTGTTAAATATTATTACAATTTAAAAGAACGGTTCTCTATTCTAATATATTTTTAAATGTCATTTGAGCACACGCATCTTTTCCAAAAAAGCTAAAAGTGATTTATGCTGAGCATAAATATCTCAGTTAGAGGAACACGCTGTCTTTACTGGTGATACAAGCAACCCCGTCATACTGTGTCAGCTAGCATTACGGTAATACCCTTTTGGGTCTTTTAATGAATGAGTTGGCAGATTCAGATTTAGACAGATTTTCATATCGAAAA